GGATACTGATAGAATGATGAGAGAAAACAGAGCTCAACTGGATGCTGAAAGGGCTTGCAAGCTTGCCAACGGAATTATTGTTCTGAGAGAACTAGTAACATTCAATATCAGTAGTAGTAGAAGACTAGTAAGCATATGAAATATGCAGAATGAAATCATGCAGCAAAACTTTAATGGTAAATCACCCTAGCTATCAAGCACATTATTAAATTTAAGTCATGCTTAGTGCCTGGAATTACGACATATTTTACAATAGAACTAGTTTCAAAAGCAACACCAGTATGAAGCATTTTGTCTTCAGTCCATGACAACGAACTTGGACCATTTGGTATTCCTCAATGTGGTAGCAATATCGGATCCTCTGGTTTATAATGTTTGTTATTCATGATAAAACGAATTTAAACCTTACCTGAACTAGAAAGTAGAAACTCGGATCCTCTGGTTTCTTCCAACTGTAAGGCTATAAGACAAAATTGTGTGTTTATTTAGGTAGCATTTACAAGAAAAAATAGGAGTTCCATCTAACTGTAAGACAAAATTGTGTGTTTATTTATATAATTCCATCTCAGTGTTAAAACTTTTACAATCAGTAAGTGAATGATATATCCATATTTTGCAGAAAGAAACCTAGAAAATGCAACGTATGAATCCCTCTAATCTTTATTGACAGAAAATGCAAATTAATAATTAAAAATTTGTAAAGGCCACAATATGAATCCTTCTCTAATCTTTGTCCAATCAGAACCAATTTGAACAGATCAAAAGAACAGAAAATTAAACACAGAGAAGTGAGAGTGTGAGACTAACTTTTTGATGTCGAGACTCGAAACGGCAAAAGAAGCTGACGGCGAGATGATTGATGGCGAGGTGTGACAGATTGAAAGTGAAAAGGGTCGCGGGTCGCCGCTGGGAATGAGAGATAGAGAGTTTGAGAGAATGGTTGAACTTCGAAGACTGAAAGAGAGAGGAGGCTTACGATTGTGAAGTCGACTTGGGAAATGGGAGAGACGAGAGTCACAAGAGGAATGCTGGGGGACCTTAGGGTTAGGGTTACAATTGGGGTAAAACACTAAAACGTTGCCATTTAGAATAAAAATTATTAATTAATAAAAAAATTACAATTTGGTTTTGTTTGGTTCAGTTCGGTTCAACAAATTCGGTTTGGTTTTTTTGGGCCTCGATTTGATTTTCAGTTTGGTTTTTTTTTTGTTTTCGGTTTTTCCAACCCATCCCTAGTAACATCTGGTACTTCATCTTCAAGAATTGAAATTGATGAGTACAAAGTCTTGAAAATGCATGATCATGCCTTGATGTTGTTACTTACTACAACACTTCCTTCATCCGCTATTTCCTGTGTGATTGGTAGCAAGAGTTCTTAAAAGATTTGGGTTCATCTTCAAAACCAGTTTTTCTTACCAAGTACAAAAACCAATATAATCAAATTACAGACTGATCTTTACAACATTAAGAAATGATCAAATTCATCAGTATCTTTGAAGAATTAAAGAAGCAAGGGGATGGACTTTCTATTCTTGGTGTCACATTTGCTGATGAAGACTTTGTGATCATTACGTTGAATGGACTTCCTCCAAAATACAACACATTTAAATGTGTAATCAAAGGGTGTGAGAGTGTCGTTTCACTCAAGGAATTTCGTGCACAATTGCTCGCTAAGGAAGCCATTGTGGATTGTGCTCTTGTGAAACCCCTTATGTCTACTGTGGTAACTAAATTTGGTGAATGTAAGACAAACTGTTCTTCCTTTCCTCTCTTTAGCTCTTAATTTCATGCTGGTTTCAATGGTTATTATCATGCTCAATCCAATTTTAGTTCATGCCAATCAAGCTATGGTAATAATGTTGATAGTTAATTATAATGGAATTCTTAGCTCACCTCCATCTCCATATCCTAGTTCTTTGCCACCTGAGTTTACATAAGGATCATCTTGTTGCCCATTGTTCTACTCAAATACCAACTCATCTATTACCCGAGATCCAAACTTGTAGGATCAGCTTCGAGTTTCTAATTCAATGAAGTCAATTGAGAAAGACTTTATTATGGTCAATTCTTTCTCCCATTACCTTGACTCTATTATGGTCAGTTCTTTGACTCTATTATGGTACAATAATTTTTTGGTTCGTTTTGATGAATATATCCATGTATATATACACAATATATTGGAGAATATAATTTCTCTACCATTTTTTTAATCCCATAAATTTGGATTTTATTTAAGATCTCATTAATTAAATAACTACAAATTTTATTTTTAATTTAAAGAATATAATAACCTACTTAGAAATACATTATTACATTAATGTCAAGGACCTTAATAAAAAATTGAAAACCACAAAGGTTTTAGTCCATGAACATTGGTAGTTAGGGACCACATCTAAAGTCTCCCTTAAGTTTAAGTTTGTGAGAACAGATTTAAGGAGGATTAAGTTTACTAACACGTGTCAATACGATTAGAGGCCACATAGATGTCACATGCAAAATGACTGCAAAAGACTTGAACTCATACTGACATACATGTTAATTTGTCTTTTGGGTTTCAAAAGAGCAACTCAACCAAAAAACGTACCAAATTTGTATGATTTTTGCAGATACTACTTTAACGTAGTGGTGGAAAGCAATCATGCTAATGCCCTGTGTGGATTTGATCCACGTCGATTATCCTCCCCTCTAACAACTTACTATTTAACCTACTAATGCTATCACTTACTTAAAAAAAAAAAATTTATTTTATTCTCACCAATTATTGTGAAAAGATTATTTTACTAGCACCAAGTGTCAATCTACAGTAGAATAATTCTTCGAGTTTTGGGCAAGACAAGGTTGTTATTTGGCAATATCGACAAGTTATTATAGTTTAAACATAAAAATTAGAAATAAAAACAAAAGTAAAAAAGCAATAGTTTATTGGTGTTATTGTTGAGAATGAATCCCACACGTGAAAATTTATAGACATTGCATGTGCTTACAAGTAACTAGGCAACTCCTCATATTGCCAATTGGTTTTATGGTGAAACCTCAACTTTGTTCATGGTATCAGAGCAAGGTTGTCCTATGTGTGAAGTCCAACAGCTACATGTTCCCCATATCATGCGATTGGTGTTGTCCAATTGTTAGAATTAAAAATTAACCACACATGAGGCGTGTTGAGAGTGAATCCCATATCGGAAAGAGGAGGGACCTTGCATGTACTTATAAGTAATTGGGCTACTTCCCACATTGCCAATTGGTTTCATGGTTGAACCTCAAGTTTTTTTTTTTTTTAAATATATATATATACACACACACACACACTTTGACACATACATACATACATACATATATTTATTAAGGAAGGCTTCAGAGTTTGAAACTATTACAATAATTTACAAAAAATGAAGTTTTGAACCCAAAACCTATATGTAAAAACCCAACACTCTATTAGCTAAAATATTTTACACATGCAAAATTTTATTTTTTCACTGATCGTCCATCACAAAAAGCCAAATTTCTGAACAATAATTAGCTACTGATGAGTAGATTTTATATTATATATATTTAACCTTATTCTTAGTATATTTTGGTTATTATTTTGGAAGAATTTTGATACTTTGAGTTGTATTTTCAATATAGGACTTTCAACTTCCTTTGGAGCAAGGCGTGATCAAATGGATGAATTTTGGAGTAATTCTAGTTGGAGGATGTTCGTAAATTACTTAGCTTGATTGCGTCAAAGTTTGGAATTTTTTACCAATCGGTGATTATCTGATGATAGAATAAAGGAGCAGTGTGTGGTGCTGGAAAAGTGACGTTTTGGGCTTGAATTGCGTTTTTGGAGCCAGGCCAAGATGACCGTGGCCTTCTGGAGATGTGTTCAGAACGTTCTAATCTTTAAAATGAGCTATTATGGGCCGGATTTGGAGGATATTTGAGGCTAAAATGTGGATGGACAATTCCTTTGCAGATTCTCCTAGCTCAATTAGGACTTTATTTTCTAAGATATTTTTATTATTATTTAGTTTCCTAGTTGAGAAAAAAATACTATGTTTTAGGGATTATGCGATGGCATAGCAGTGGATATAAGGCTTTGCCGGTCTTAGTTTTTTAAAAAAGGTTTTTTTGATGCGACTTTGAAGACAGAAATTTGCTAGCGTTCTTGAAGGATTTCAGATTTTTACTTTAAGTTGATGTCATTCCTATTCATTCTAATAATATTTTCCATGAATTTAATTATGAATATGCGTAGCTAATTCGTTTGCTAGGGCGAAGCCTTGACCTTTAGCATGAATATGTAATTTTTATTTAATTGCTTATGGTTGATTACCTGCACGTGTTGAATTATTGATCACAATTTTAAACTATCTAGTTGTCTTAATGCTTGATCACCATTAGGATCTTTAGAAAAGTGATTGGCTGCAATTTTTGGAAGGTTCCCTGAATTTGATGCTGGCTTCTTGTGGTTAATAATTGTAATTTCACTTGAAATGAACATCGCATCTTAAGGATTGCATGGTCTTTTAAAGGGTTTTCATAAAACATAATGAGTCTCTCATGTTCATATTTGATCCGAACGTCCGGACGGATTGCATGTTTGATATACGTTCTATATTGAAGGTTCCAAAAGTAGAGTATATATTATGAAAACCTAACCTTCAAAGTGACATGTGTAGATCATAAGTAATTGGTAAAAATTCATAAAATTGCTAAATGATTGGGGAACCCTAGTGCTTTTATAAATTGGTATTTAAAACTCTTTTCTTTTATCGTATTAAATTTGGGTGAATTTGCTATTTGTTTTTAATTAAAATTTGTTTTTCATATTACCCAAATTCAAAAACTCCTTTATCAATTTTTAATTTTAAGTAGTTAATTAGGATTTTTTTTTTTACATAAACTATTAAAATAGTCGTTGTGGAGAACAACATTACATGAGCATCTATACTACAACATCCTTGTAGTCTTACAAGTATTTTATGTGATTTTAGCTACACCGAATGAGAATGAAATAAATTGAAAAGAGTGCATGGTTCATATTTAAATATTTATAATCAGAGCACAGATGACACTGGATGCTTTACATGAGAAGAGCAGCAACTCCATATCTTTGAACTAATCCTTAACTGCTAGCTAGCCGAGCACTAAATACCATGATGGTACCAAGTAGTACAAATAGCGGTATGCATGCAACTATGTACGTATGTAATAGTTGTAACATATGATCACTCTTATTCTACATAATAATATATGGAACCGAGCCAGCAAGCTAGTCATCCATGCATGCATGCATCATTAGTTGGGAAATGGAGGCTTGTGTGGTGGTTTTTGAGGTGGCTTGACAGGGCGAGTTGGGGGCTTCTTTCCAGTACCAGTTGGGGGTTTTAGTTTCCGAGGTGGCTTGTGATTTGAGTCTCTTCCCTCCTCCACCACATTCTCTTCAAGATGACGATCATGATGAGGTGGCTCATCTCCCTTACCCTTCGGTGGCTTATCTCCCTTACCCTTTGGAGGCTGCTCAACTGGCTTTGGTTTTGGGTTGTGTTCAGGGAATGGCTTGTGATCTCCATCGTCATTATGTTCAAGTGGGGTTGGTGGCTTGCCTTTTGGAGGTGGCTTTGGCTTCTTTCCCTTAGGAGGCAATTTCTCATCCAATGATTCTGCCTCTAATAAACGACGTCCGGTGTTTTGTTCATTGTGAGGCGGCTTGTGCTCCGGTGGTGGCTTCTTACCCTTGGGAGGTTCATCATGACCTGGGGTTCCCTTGTTCTTCGGTGGTGCCTTTTCTCCTTTTTGGGATTCCTGATCACCTGGGTGTCCTGGTTTGTGCTCAGGCGGTGGCTTCTCTCCTTTCTTCGGTGGCTCGTCACCTGGGTGTCCAATACCTGGGGTATGTCCTGGTGGTCCTCTCTTCGGTGGCTCATCACCTGGCTGTCCTGGTTTGTGCTCTGGTGGCGGTTTCTCAAACCCTGGATCCTCAGTGTGCTCTTGGGGTGCCTTTTTGTGCCCTTGTGGTGGCTTTTGTCCCTTTGGAGGCTGATTGTGCTCTTGAGGTGGCTTTTGTCCCTCGGGAATTTTGCCTTCCACCTCTAGCAAGTGGTGTTCGTTGTGTGGTGGCTTGTGCTTGGGTGGAGGCTTCTCTCCTTTGCCCTTGAGGGGCTCGTTATGTTGGGTTGGGGGCTTCTTCTCTGGGAATGGGAAAGGCTCTTCCTTGTTAAGTGGGGTTGGAGTCTTGTGATTTGATGGGTTGCGGGAAGGCGGCTTGTGAATTGGGTGTTTCAGGGCAAGAGAAGGAGTTGAAGTGGTGAAAACCACCACTCCGACAAGAAAAACTAGCAAGTAATTGGGAGACATCTTTAGACTCTTATGTTCTAGGATGGTTCGAAACTAGTAGAAGTGAGTGGTTTTTTATAGTGATGGGGCAGCACTGTGGTCATGACACATGTCACCATGCACTTGGATTTTTTTTAATGAAATGTGTGGACTCGTTGAATTTTGTATGGTTTGGTTTTTATTTTGTTTGTACAATTTTATATATGAGGAGGGGTCCATTTAGGGTCCTATTTGAGTTGAAATGTTTGACAACTTTTACGTTCAAACCAGGTAGGGGACTTGTAGGAAAGCTAAATTACGCGACTTAGTGTTCACAACTCACATGCAGTCGGTGACCTGGTACTCTAGCATTACTGATCGATATTATATTAGAGATAATGTTTTAACTTTAGAAAGAACAAGACAATAAGAAAATATAGCAAGTTGCTTTTGCACGTTTTTCTTTTAAACAAGATGGAGAGATTTTTCAGTGCAATCGTCATACGAGATGGTACATCACGTGTTGTTATATAAATGATAGGATATGTGTATTAAAAAGTTAATAACTTAAGAAATAAAATTTTTCACCACTTACATAAAAATACGTGGTGTACCGTTCGTGTTCTCGTCACAACTAAAAATTTCTCCACAAGATGGAGAAAACAATGTTACTTTCTTTTCGAAATAAGTTCGAACTAAATGGCCGTCTATATTCCTGCATATAGCCGACTGTATATGCACAAGTATTTTTCAAGTTTTCTTTTCCATAACTAGAAATATTGACTCAAATATTTTACGTTAATGCTATAAAAATATTGAGCTAATGATTTAGTAAAACAAACAATCCTTTGTAAAGTTATTCACATACAAATTATATATTAGTACATCGAATTGCAGTATATATCTCGAATATAAAAGAGATTCACTTCAGCAAATTTAGAGACTTATACCATGTTAAGACTATAGCGTAGACCAAATTGTTGTAAGAAATGGAACTCACTTGTGCATCAAATAAATATGGTACACAAGACATTACTCTTTCTTTTTGTTCTATTCCAACGATATATATAATTTTACTTAATCTAAACGACAGAGAGGTGAAATCGAGTGTGAAACACAAAACATATTCTTCCTTTTTCAAGTTGAAGCTCAATTGATTGGATGATAATTAGTGCCGCCTTCAGTGGTTTAAAGACATGGTTTATCAAGCTGTGACAAGATTGAGTGTGGCTTTAGGTTCTTTTTCATGTAGTGATTCATGATGCTGTCTTATTATATGCTATCCAACATTTAGCGGCTCCCATAATCACTTTAAGGAAATAAATTATGGAAACTAAATTCACTTTTGGAAAAAGCTAGCATGATGAAATTAATTGGATAAATCCATCAGTCCACAGATTTTGCTTGTTTCTACGAAGATCTTGTGTATCCGGTGGAAAGATGGACAATATTTTACCGACTATATATTTTATTTGTTTTAGCTTTTTTTTTTTTTTGTTAATTACTACTAATCCCTATATCAGCGAGCCCGCAATGGTCTTTCTCCTTTTCCCAGTTAGGATGACGACCTGTATTTAATGTTGATATAAACGACACTAAATCGCAAGTTGTTTTGGTGCATAGTTTATCTGGCTAGAAAGCAGCTATCTAGTTAAGCAGAGGCTAGCAAGATTTCACGTAAACGACATTAATCACTTTCAAGAACCGATGTCAAGATTATAAGAGTTGAGCGTATCTGTGGTACTTAAGTGTTTTACAAGTTTTGTCAAGAGCATTGAAATCTTTTCTTTTCTGTTATGTGAATTGTGAATGACTGAAGAGAGAAACTCTTAGTACCCATTTGAATGGAGGAATTCCAAATCTATGGATTTTTTGATAAAATTATAAGATTAAATTGGTTGTTTCAACTATTACAATCATTATATGCGACTAAGTAAAGGAAGAAAACAAGTGAGTTTCAAATAATTCCTTGCACATTGTTATTTCAAATCATTTAAACATACTACTTTGTGTGTAGTTGTAATCTTATTTGTCAATTCCAAAACGTTTCTCTTAACTTCTTCCATGCAAAAAGAGAGCATTTAATTTGATACTTCTCTTCCATTCTTAAAAGGTTTCCACAACTCGAAGCCTCTGGGCCAGTCAAAAAATACAGAGAACTTAAAAGTCAAATGGTACATATATCTTCCTTGATATAGTTGCAACATGAACAAATTTTCCTTTTGTTTGTTTTCGGGTTTATTTGGGTGCGTTTGCATGTGCATGCATATATATGTTGTCCGTGTAGTGAAACTGTGTGAAAGCATGAAAGCAGTTGTATGAGTCATGTGGCTGCTTTTGCTACAGGATCTGAAGAAAATTCTCAGTCACCTCGCCATGTAAGGTTACTAATTTATTTATGCTATAACATTTATGTACTTATTCAAAATTATATTCTCTAGGTCCCTAATATTCATCAATTATGTTATTCATGTAGATGGTTTAGTAACACATTGGGAAAGTGTCACACTAGGGTTTCGTAGCACATTGGGATAGTGTCACACTCTGGTTTAATTTAGTAGCACATTAGGATAGTGTCACACTAGGGTTTAGTAGCACAATGTTATTCAAGTAGATGGTTTAGTAGCACGATGGGATAGTGTCACACCACAAAGTTCATGATGAAGAGATTTTTTATTTAACGTCGCCTCACCTAGAGGTCACAAATCAAAGTAAATAGTATCGGAAGTATTTTATTAAAACTTCATATTTATTATATTAATCTTAAGTTCCAAATTAATCATATATCATGTTATTTATACAGCCTAAAAAATTACATGAATTAGTAACATAGTAACTGTACAAAGTTTCTGAAGATTCTCTTCGGCAATTTTGTACCTCAGCCATTCAACTTGTGGGACATCCTGTTGACTCTTTGTATAACTACCCTAGTCAGTGAGACAAAGTAGGCCAGATTTTTATGCATTTCACAACATAAAGCGTAACATAGCATCAAGGCATGCATGTGGACGCAATTAAGTATTCCGTTATATTTTGCAGGTGGTCAGTGAGACGAAGTAAGCCAGATTTTTATGCATTTCACAACATAAAGCGTAACATAGCATCAAGGCATGCATGTGGACGCAATTAAGTATTCCGTTACATTTTGCAGGCGGTTCTGTACTGGTCCGTGCATACATGTTCACGAGCAGTATAAGAAGTCGATATTATGATGAGATCCCTGGTTGATCTCTGCGGCTCTGCCGACATGTTCTTCACAGCTTAGGGTATTGACAAAGATAAAATATAGTTGTTTTTCTTTATTTTTATACAAGCACTAGTGTGGTGAAATTGAACTCAACACATTCGATACATATGAAATATTTTTAATCAATTAAGCTACAAAAATTTTATAATATTATTATATATTATCAAAATTTTAGAAAGGCGAGCTTAATAGTTCAACATTAATATTGTTCCCAAGTTAACCATTTGTATCTTAAGAGGTGTGAGATTTTTTCCTAAAGACCTTGGCATATTTAGGATAAAACTATTTGTATATAACTTGTAATATTTTGTCAAACCTCCAATGTGGGATTTCTGCACTACTTCACATGGAACCATATCTTTAGTCGGCCACACGTGAAGAGAAACAGAAAGTATGCATTGGTGGTAAAACTCACAAAATCTCGGCATGGTAAAACTCAAAGCATGGGGAAACCCCATAGACTAAGGATAAAAGTGAGAAGTACGCATAATGTCCAAAACATACATCAACTCAACGGAGTATGATCATCCCAGGATGTATGGGTGCCTCATCAAAACCTCGTTATGTAGCAAAAACCCAGTGGGAAAAATGCACCTAATCGTAGGAAAAAGAGTATATCAAGATCAAGTGAGTATGCTTTAGGATACTCCCCTTGAGTTAGACATAACTTCCAAATAAGAGACTTGCAAGTGATTCAACTCAGATAATTTACGCATACTGATTCCTTGGACGAGCTTTTGAAAAATAGACTTAGGCAATGACTTGGTGAAGAGATCGGCCAGGTTGTCTTGGCAACGGATTTGTTTGACTTCAATGTTCTGATGTTGTTGTTGCTAGTGAGAGTAAAAAAACTTCGGCACTATATGCTTGGTTTTGTCTCCCTTGATGTATCCATTCCTTAACTGCTCGATACATACTGCATTGTCTTCAAAGATCGTCGTATGAAGGTCAACGATGAAAGTAAGACCACTAGTGATTCGAATATGTTTCATAACTGCTCTCAGCCAAAAACACTCACGCGATGCTTCATGTAAGGCGAGAATCTCAGTATGGTTCTAAGAAGTCACAACTAGCGTTTGCTTGGTAGACCTCCAAAATATGGCGGTGTCTCCAACGATAAAGACATAGCCCGTTTGAGAATGTGCCCAATGTGGGTTAGACAGATATCCAACATCTGTGTAACCAACAAGGCGAGAATCAATCGGAAAACCATAGGGGGAGGTAACACTCGAAGATTCACGGGTATAGAGTAAGCCCAAATCCATCGTACCCTTGAGGTAGTGGAAAATGTCTTTAACACCATTCCAGTGTCTGCGTGTGGGCACATTGCTGTATCTAGCCAAAAGATTAATAGCGAAAGAGATGTCGGGTCTAGTGCATTACGCCAAACACAATAAAGCCCCAATTGCACATAAGTACGGAACTTCGGGTTCCAAAATCTCTTCCTCATCCTCCTTTGGATGGAAGGGATCTCGTTTAGCATCTAGAGTCCGAACGACCATAGGTGTACTCGAAGGCTTCGCTTTGTCCTCATTAAAATGTCGCAACAATTTTTGGGTATAGTTCGATTAATGTACTAGGATTCCATCCGAACAATGCTCGATCTCCAGGCCAAGGCAATATCGAGTTTTTACAAGATTTTTCATCTTGAATTCCAATTTCAAGTGTGTAGCAATTTCCTCAAGATTTGTGGGAGTTCCAAAGAGGTTCATGTCGTCGACATAAACTGCAACAATTGCAAATCCGGAATGTGGCTTCTTTATGAACACGCATGGGCATAATTCGTTATTCACATAACCTTGACTTGTCAATTATTCACTCTGACGGTTATA